CCAGCTTTTTCTGCTTCCAAAGCAGCCAAGCCCCAGGTAGAGCCAGTGCTGTGAGAACTGCTATTCCGGATTCGTTCCTGACCTGCTTTTAAATCAGAAAAATTATATTTCTCTCCTTTCTGAGAAATCAAATAACCCTAGTATCAAATCTTTTTACTGTCTAGGTTCCAAAATTTACCTGCTATAGCAAGGGAAGCAGCAGTGGTGCAGCTGCTTGTGAATTAATACAAACGAAGTTATTCAGTGGTTAAATCTGGATTAAATTTAAATTCAGAGCAGGCTTTGAAAAGGAATCAGGGTATGGCTTGTGTGCACATGTGATGGTGCTAAAATCTTATGGGGTTTTTTGTGTTCTGAAGTTTCGGCTCTGTTTGATCTGGAATGGGAAAATAAGGTTCATTCCAGTTTGGAAAGAAACCCAGAACCCAAATTGTATGACTGAACTCACATCAAGAGACTGAAATGCCCCCAAACACCCCCTTATCCTTCTCTTTCTGGAGATGGAAAGTCTGACTGTCAGATGGGACTGAGAAAGAAAGATGCAGCCAGGTGGAAACTAATGAAAAGCTGAATTTGGCGATATTGTGAAAGTGGACCCCTGGTTTTAATTATAAAGTTATAAAACAAGTAATGGCAAATCCATTACAGACTTTGAAATCATATCAAGCTTATCTGCTTATCTGCTTTAAGCACTGTCAAGCACCCACTTCTTTTCAATGAGCAGAATCCACTTCAGTCTTGATCAGCCCAGAAGACTCCCATGCCTCAGTTTCCACTCTATTTCAAGGGAAACTTTTCCAAAATATTTGAACTGGCTTTTAAAATTAATTTGATGCTTGTGTCAACTGTTAGTAGTGTGCCAGTGAGTTACCTGGGAATAATTATTTAGGATTCGTACATATTTATAGGAAAACTGTTGTTACAGCCACTATTCCACCTGCCTTGAAATACTGAGATGCTATAATACTATAATACAAATACTTTGGTTTGAAACATTATAACCTGAAGGAGAAAAACTGTACATATGGATAGAAAATTCAGGCTTAAAACACAAGCTATTGTGGTCATGATGTTATTTTGCAGACTGGCAGAATATGTCATCAATTTAGGTGGCAAAAATGATGGAAAAAACAGTCTGTGTTTGAGAAGCCTGAACTTTAGTGTGAAAAACAGAATTCTTCAACAGTTCACCTGACAATGCCATTTGTCTGACTTTAATTAATCTGTCGCTATGAACATGACCTAGTTACCATGGTACAAATGTCAGCTTGTAATAGCTTTTCCCTAGAGTCCTCCTTAACCAGCACTTGCCATTTACATTTGCTCATTCAATCATGAAGAGTAGTTAATTAGCTCCATCTACTGCTGCATGGAGTGAATTGTACCAGCTCGCCAGTTCTCCCGTAGCCCCTTCAGATCGCACTGGCAGTGGTGGTTTAGGTGCTCTGCTGCACCGCACCACTGGCAAGAGTTGTTATTGTAAAGCAAGAGGTTTACATTTTTCTGTTTCTTCTTCTATCATCAGCTTTACCGCTACGTAGGTCTTCTTCAATCTCTAATATTTTTGGTAATTTCTTTTTGAATTGCAGGGTTACAATGTGGGGCATCATTTTTCAAAAACACATTTTCCCATGCCGAAAGGCCTAACAGTTCTCTTAAAATAATTAGCACAAACAATGAAGGGACTTGCAAGGAAGGAAATGGAGCTATTTACGTTACTGCTGCACTGATAATAAAGAAGGTCACTGTGCTGAAAATGGGTACTCAGATCAGCAGATGGATGCCTTTATCTTACGCTTGCCATATGTGTCGACTGGAAGAGTCAGATGGGGTATTTAGTTGTTTATGTTTTGAAATAAGTGTTCTGATGTTCATTTAAAATGCCTTCTTAGTTTATGAGAGCTAATGAATGCCTGTTCTAAAATGTCATTTTTCTTACTATTTCCCTTTTGATTTAGGTGGAAACACACTAGATAATTGCCAAAGGGGAAAGGTAGCAAGGGTTAATACCTTCAGATATCTAAAATCTCAAAAAAAAATTTATTATATTTAAAGAAATAATCTAGCAAAGTATTTTATTTTCACAATAGGTTTACTTTTCCATTAAGAAAGTAACACCAAAGAGCTTATTAAGGTCAGAGATGTTTTTCTAGTCTGCACAGTGCTTAGACACCTGTGAGGTGGCTGCTAAACCGAAAGACCAGGCTTGCAGGTATTCCACAGAGGAAGGAAATTTATTCTTTGAGCTGGCTGCTACCTTCAGATACCCCTCCTGCTAACAGCAAAGTAAATTACATGAAGGCACATCATCAGTTTGTGCTGCTACCCCCTTCACGCATCTCATGTCCCTAGTTGTAAATCTGCCTGAAGTGGCCTCAAAATATAACAGGACGTTTCTGAACACAGAGTCAAAGAAAGCCCCTCATTAGAAAACATTAAAATAGAAGTAAGCAGAAGAAAGAGAAGACAAGTATCGACCAGAAAACTATTGCAGCAAATCCTAGGTCCTTCCCTCTTACTTTTCATCAGGTAGAAAAGCAAAGCCATTTTCACTGCCAAGGCTAGCTTTGGGTGCCTCAACTTTGGCCTCTGTTCTTAGCTCTACAAGAGACTTCTCCATCTCTAATTTACCTCTGAGTTTCAGCCTTCAATGCATTGTCCATGAACATCACTTGGTTAGAAGAGCCTTTCTAGCTAACTCCAATGAATTCTGTAGTTTCTGGGGACAGTTGCGTGTGTTTGAATGGGATAATTTAAATGCTGTTCTTCGTTCTTCATACACCACATCGAAAATCTATTCTTCTATCCCCTGGAGGGAACATCTTCTACTTACACAAATTCATTTCAAACCAAGTTTTGTTTTTCAAATTTGTAATTCATGCAGTATTATGCAAAGCAAAAAAATAAATAATCGGGCTGTGCAGTCTATTCTTTCATGAAAACGTGAGGGACTTCAAAGTCTAACTCTGCTTACAATTAGCACGTCAGTGGGAAAACAGATGTTGTTATCAGTTAATGCACTGTAAGTAAATCTGTCCAGACCTTCAACAGCTTTCTAAAAAAAATATTTAGGATGAATTACCTCCAAGATGATTGGAATGCTTACTTTATGCTTCATGCAAATGTAAATCCCAAATTTAGTGTTAACACAACAGGTAACTTGCTACATGTGGATGAACTATTTGAAAAGATTGAGGATTAATGTAAATTTCAAATCTAAGAAACTAAATACAGATATTTACCATATGCCTTCTGTGAATTTTATAGAGTAAGAACTTGAAAGAGATCTGAGTTCAGTTCTCCACCTCATTTCCAAGAAAAAAAGTCCCACAGATTCTGTTCCTGAGTAAAGGGTTTAAGGTTAAATCTGCAACATCAGAATGTTAAATAAAACAAACATCATTTTCCTTGGCTTGTCCTTAACACAGGCAGCCTTGGTTTGATTTCTTGAATGCATTTGCTTTTATTTGAATGTCAGAAGAGTCACAAGGAACTGACAGCCACTAGACTGTTCCTGAAGTCGCATTGCCTCAATAATTATGCCTTGCAAGAGGTATCACTGGTAATAGTAGAGAAATAAGCTTTCAGTATTCAACCATTTCATAAAAATAAAGGAGATTTTATTGACCTAATACTTGTTTACCAGTGTGCAGTAACTATACTATTTTCACAGATTTAGATGTGAGCCAAGGCAAATCTAACTCACACTGGTATTTTGCACTTTCCTCCTTCTCATGTAATGGTGTTCTTCACAGGTAGCACACTGGTAGAAAGCTGAATCAAAGTGCCAAATATTAGGAGGGCTTTTTAATGCATTTCTATGTGTGCAGGGTGTCAGATCATCCTAAATGTCAAGGTACACACTATACAAAAGGACATATAAACGTTTATACATATATATGCAAACCAAAAAAACACAATAAGTGCTTCTAAACTTCCAGACTGCAGTATAAGAAACAGGTTGCCATGTCAATGAATTTTGTAATATCTGTCAGTGAAGTAACCACTCAGAAAGATTTGTTATAGTTTTTCATCAAGTGTAGCCATTTTCTCACATGGGTGATAATTTCACCTGTGTAAAACTTTCCCTTTTTTCATCAAGAGTTATTGCATAACCAGGTTTTCTTTTCAATTCAAGAACTAAGATTTTTCACCTTTGCATGAAATTTTCAACGGCAAGGGACTCACAAGGAATTTTCTAAGCTGAAAATTAAGCATATCAAATTTTTCTCTGTATAATAGTTACCCAGGCAGTCGTGACTGAGCAGAGTACAGATGTTAGGATAAACGGCTACATTCCATTAAGGGCTGGCCAACACCTAAATATGTCCTCACTTGGGAAAAACGTCTCTCTAGATCTAAACCTTTCAGATCCAGTCCATTTCTGTATTCTGCCCTGCACTTATTCAGAAAGGCCATTGTTGCCTATGGGAGTTCTGTCTAAAGATGTAGAGAAGAGTCTCAATACGTATTTGTGACCTTACAAAGATGAATATATCGTTTGGTTTGTGTTGGTAGCTCATACCTTCAAAGCTGTTTCTTGCTATGAAGCAAAACCACTTTGATCTGTAATTATACATTTTCTTATATAACCTGGAAAATTTATGCATGATTGACAAAGCTAGAGAGAACTGAATATTGAATGTGTACCAGGAAAATAACACTTCATTGTTTTTATTTTTAAATATGTTCAATGCAGTTCAGAAACAAGTGTAATATAACTCTTATTTTACCAAATTGATAATTAAAATAAGACAAAATTACTTATTGGCCTTTGATAAATAGTTTAATATGGGACATGCATGCTAACAGGAAAGTCAGTTTTGGATGACAGTCATTTAACAGTGGAAATGTGAGTTAACAATAAACTGTAGAAATGCTTGAAAATATGGTATGTCCTTTCATATCCTTTTATCAAAATGCATCTTCTTTATTCTTCTGCAACTTTCCCTCCCATATCTACTTTCTAAGCTTTAAAGCAATTTTACACATTAAAATATCTAGAAATACAAATAATAAACCCAATAAAATACATTAATTATGATGAATGATAACGGGAAAGAAAATCTGGCATAGTTGTCTATGTGGTAAGGATTTTTAACATGGAAGCAATCAAAGATACAGAAAAGTCTTTTCATTACTGACATTGGTGAACTACACCCTCTGTGTTTACTTCTCTCCCTTTTTGCATCAATGCTGGTTTTGCTGCTCTTATTGGAGTCGATCTCTTTCGTATTCTCAGGGGCACTGCAACTGTTAGTGACTGCTGACAGGACTCCATTCCTCTCTTCTTCAGTATCTTCAGCCCCATCCTGATAGGAAACAAAACAGCAGGTACTTAAGTGCATGTTTCATCGCCTATTTATGTTAGAGCCGCAGCAAATAATAGGATTTTTCTTACGACTCCTCCTGTGGCTCGCTCCTTGATTTCAAGGGCAAGCACCTACACGTACCAGACAGCTCCTTTCAGCTTTCGAAGCCTCCATGTACAGGAAAAATTGCTGACTTCAACAACATCTTACTGCAAAAGCTTTTGTAGGACTGTCGAGCAAAGCTGGATATGTTAAAATTTGGCCCACTAAGCTCTACCTAAGACAGCAGCAAATCCATGAAATGCACAACAATAAGCTATCTTCTGCTCAGGGGAAACACTGGCAAAGGTCAGTGTCCAGAAAGCAAGCCCCAGTCTGGAGATGGAGGAGGTGGACGAGCTGCCAGACCAGCTAGTCAGGCTGGTTGCACCCCAAATCAAGCACCCCAGAATACAAGACTCTTTCCATCTGTGCAGTTGGCTACTCTATTTCCAGTGCTTTGTAATAAAAATCAAATTACTGAAAAAAAAAAGAGGATCATAAAGAGGGACAAGCCCCACAACTAATTCAATACTAAATAGCTCATACTACTTTCTTTCAAGTCCTGAAACCTATGCTTTACGTTCAAAGTTATGCTAAGGTTAAACGCATTTTTATGTGCTTCACTGCATCAAGACAGCTCTTTGGAGAATGTTGTATAAGCCTTCTGGTGGGTTTTGTTTCTTTGATTAGAAATGGCTCAGAGCCATGAAGTTCATGTATGAAATCTTCACCCTTTGAAATCAGTGGGTTTTCTGTTTCTGTCTCAGAGGACAGAGGATTAGACATCAGCTGCAGTTGCAGCTCTAAACACAAACTTTCTTAAAAGTTCTGGGGTATTTAGTTTGATTTGGGATATTGCAGAGATACTAGCAAGTCCAAGCTACAAAGATTGGCTCCAACTTTGTATCCAAATTACACCTAAATTTGTGCAGTTGGAGAAGGGGTCTTTTTAATTCAGGCAGATGTACACAGAATTTTAATTTTAATTTTAATTTTCTGCTGGTGATTTTCTTCCCTTCCAAATCAGCGAGTGGTATACAAGCAAGAAAAGGCTAAAAACTTATTTGCAAAATGTAGAATGCAGGTCTTTCCTCTGACCAATTTGTTTTTCCATTTGCATCTTGAGAAGAAGTATATTAGACAAGGACAAACTTCGGAAAAATTAAGATGTACAGCCCTACACGTAGCCACAAAAAAGGCTCATTTAGAAATATCTCAGCTATTAAAGTCAAAGAAAGCTCATTAAGCCACCTGAGTGATCTCTTTTCCAGTGCAGAATTGCTCTTCTGCCCAGGGTACTTGTAGACAGCACGGTTCTTGAGCCTTTCTTCATCTAAAATTAGTCATGTCCTTGAAAATTAAACTAGAGTCTGGACAATGTCCTCAGACTGCTGTGAATCAGTGAAGCAGCACAGATGACGCGAGAAAAAGGGATTATTACTGCTTTTGATTTTTAATTTGCCAAAAAATCCAATATATTTTATTTGAGAGAGGTAAACATAGCTCAACACAACGTGTCATCCTAAAAATACACTGACTACAAAACCTTGCTCTTCCTCCACCTAGCCTCCTGCAGCTATGTGAGAATTTTGAAACCAAAGGCCAGGATAAAAACCTGCCTGTAAAGCATTAAGAGGCTCAATCCATAAAATCCCAGTCTGAATGTTAAACAATCCCCAGGGTAGTAGTTTAAAAACTCAAACCTGAAGTTTTACTGGGGGCCTAACTCTGTCATAAATACCTAGTTCTTCTGCTTCAAATGTTCAGGCAGCTGAGGAAAGCACTGGGGATGCCAGAGGAGCCTTTGTCAGCAGCGCCTGACACTTGGAACCAGGCACCGGAGCAACAGTCTAATGAATGCACTCGGTGCTTCAAAAGTTAATAAAATAAAGAAACCTGTCAGAAGAGTCCTGACTATTTTCCACTGCTCTCATTTTTTAGAAAGGGGAAAAAAAGAGCAAAACAACAGCTATACTTCGAAACTGGCAGGATCTGGGGCATTATTCAGCGTGAGAGTCTATTTGTCTCTCAGGTAGGGCTGGCTAAAAGTTGTACAGAATTAGCTTTACTGCAGAGCATGAAAGGACAGTGCGTACGTGCCATTTTTCTTCTCACACAACTGCAAGTGAACAATCCACAGAAGGCCGATGCTCTATTTGGCTGTTCTTAACTCCTTTCTACTCCCCAAGAGGCCGTTATTACTTAAGCAGCAAATGCCGTACGTGGTGCGTATGTACTTGGTTCTGTGCGCAGTGTTACAAGGCAGGGCTCTCGCAGAACAGAGACTAGTTTACAGTAGAAGCTGTATTACATTGCTTGAAAATGAGAAAGCATGTCTAGAGGAGAACCACAACTGCCAGTTTATAAAAAAACTACAGTCTCATAAACTGGGACTACCAAGGGACTTTTCCAACTCGCTATGGAGAACTGAGTGTGATGAAAGATTAAGCCGGTTTACATGATATAAAAAGAATCGCGTTGCAAGTGTTCAACTGTGGTTGTCCTTTTAAATGTCACACTAAGTTCTCCCTGGATTCCAGCTGTCAATGAGAAAATGGCAGCTGGCACTGAGGGCTCTGTTTGGATACAATATCAGTAGCATCCAGGAAAGGTATTGTACATCACCTGAAAAGCGCTGTATACAGCATCTGCTACTGTGGCTCCTGTTTATACTAACTGAAGTGTTTGCTGACATCTAACAGCCAACAGAATTGAGGAAAGTTGTCGTTTCCCTTGAATAATAAAGATGCTCAAGATTAAAAATATTTCAACCTGGAGCGTTGCACACCTGGAGCTTATGCGGTGTTCAGAAAGACCACACAATGCTTGCACAGAAATGCCACAAAGGCTGAACACCACCCTTGTAACCTTATTTTCAGATTTCAAACTTTCCTCTGTTCTGACCAAAAAGGAGAGGTTTAGGTGAAAGCCAGGTGAAGGCCAAGGAGAATTTCTCAGTTTTATAGGAGAGTATAATTCACACCTTTGTATAAAAGAGAAGAAACTCGGGATTTTGGAGAGGAAACCTCTCGTTTGGGCAGTCTGTTATGCAGTTGACACAAATGGCACATTTTTGCCTGACCTTCCTTGCAGCAAGTGATTCCTCTGCTTTTGCCATTAGCTTTGAAGCTGTCCCTATGGGTCCTGGTTCATGTGATGTGAAACATCACAAATGTGTGGATACGATAAGCTCTTTCACCAGTTTATATTCTAAACTGGAGATACCAAAGGCTTCAAAAGAACACAATAAGCCAGTGCCCAACCGCTTTAAAAAGCAAATCAGAAAGCAAATCAGTACAATTAATTCCGGTACATGGCAGAGGGTTACATTTTCAATTCACCTCCTACATTTATTTACATAATTCTGAGTGCAAATTTTGTATCAGCTTTCATATGGGAATAACACACTGGGAAGTGAGATTTCTAATTAACCTGTGTCCACAAGAGAATACGATAATGAGGAAAACACATCTATGGCGATGATACGCAGAAATTTGTTAAGTACCTGCTAGACAGTGACATGAGATTTTAGCTGCTACCTCTGTCCTTGCGATGTTTTGATTTTTACAGTGACAAATGAGAAATACAAGTCAGGTGTGCTTTCCACAGCACCCTGCTCAGTAAGCAGTGCTTGTCCTTGGCTACAGTAGGAAAAGGACATGACAGGCATTTTCCTTATTCTCTGGAGTCTTGAGTTGATCTAGGACCAAGCAATAACCCCTTCCCTTATATGTTCGTGTTTATGTGGTCAAGAAGTGAGTTGGACTGGCTGCTTACTCACACTGCACAGCAAAAGGCAGGCAGGAACACTCCTGCAGTGACCGAACATCCTTTTCAGTCATGAAGTCCATCACAAAACTGTACCTTAAGTCTTTCTTCCTCCCTCATTTTAGGGCTGTACCTCCACTTACTCCACGTCTTTCAGGTCCATGTCCACTCCATCTGCAAGCACTAGTACATGTGCCCAAGATCAAAGGGAATCTGACACAAGTAGGCAAAGGCAACGGCAGTCAAAAATGCCCTTCGCAGATCCAAAGATGCTTTATCATCCAAGTACTGAAACACTTCCCTTTCTTACCCAAACCTCCAATGAGCTTTTTTTTTTTTCATCTGCTCTATGAGCAAAATGACAACCACTTACTTCAGAAGATGGATATGCTCAGAGGGAATTGTCACTGATGCTACCTTGCCAAGAAAAATTACTTTCAGGCTTTCCACTCAAATCCTCATTCGAAACAAGTGTTTGCCCGTTTGCAGACATTCCCCCGTTAGCTGTTGTCTTTTAAAACTCACTGAGTAGCTCAGCTTTGTGTCTGTTTTTCAGTCCTTCACACCCCCAGATCTAATGACAGCTTTGAACACACTCCAATGCATTTACAGAACCTATCCCTCATCCGAACAGCCAAAATCCCATATCAATTGTTGAACTATTAAGGCATTAAAAAGTCACATCTTGGCTGATCTTCATTTTTTTTAAGCTTCACCACTTGAACTTGATATCCTGTTTCTTGAGCCTGCTGAGAAGCTTTGCTTAGGCATTTGCAATGCTCCATTTTAGTTTGACTTAAATAGTTCACATTCATTCTTCTTCTGGCCATTTGTCCCTACACCACTCAACCAAACTTCTTCCTGTATTTTTTTTTTTCTTTTACTCTCACTTTCCATGTTTTACTTTTACTATTCATCCAGAAATTTCATAAGCTGCTTAAAATTTTCTTTTCTATCATGCATATTAGATTCAATTCCATAATTAAAAGCTGCAAGACAATCAGCTTCCAACTTCCTTGTGATTTCTTTCTCACTGCTTATGCAAGCAGTGCTAAACACTGGAGATGGAAGATGTGACAAAACTTCTTCATGAACCTGACCTGATTGTTTCAGCAAGATGACAACCAGACTCAAGAACGCCTATGTTGATTTGATGCCTTTTTATTTTAAGTATATTTCACAGTATTTCAGAGTTGTGAGAAGCTCATTAGAGCAACAAAAAGCACTGCTATAATAACGATGCAGAACAGAAATTTAATCCCAGTCTGAGCTTCAGCTGCAGCTGTTGAAAGAGAAGATGTAAGTGGAAGGCTATAGGGATCTATGATTCTATGATTCTATGACAAGTGCCTATGATTTTAATGATACGTCCAACACATTGTTTGATAAATGGCCATAAAGTCCATGTCAAAAGAGAGAATCATTATGGAAGGGTGTTCGAATTTGATCTCTTCCAAAAAGTTCCAGGTATACAAATAACTTCTCTTTTTCTCAAGGTTTTTCTGTTTTCATGGTGTTTATTCTAAAATCTAAAATTCCTTAAAATTTAAATACATTTACCATTAGTGCTAAGAAAATTCATTTTTAGCAGATGTAATTGAAGTCTGTTTTGTAGGTCAACAATCAAATAATTAAAATACCTTTGGAAGTTCCTTTGAACTGAGTTGATGCAGAGTGCAGAAATGAGCCACAGCATACTCCAACAGTGCTCCAAAGATGAAACTGAAGCAGATACCGAGGTACACATCAATTGCCTTAATAAAGCAATTAGCATTTGGGAGTGAAGTCCTGGCTCCCATCATCAGTGTTGTCATAGTAAGTACTGTGGTAACACCTGTGAAATGCAAAAATCTGAGTTCTGATAAAACATGGATAGCAATGAGGGCCTCTACTGCAAGAGCTCTGCTACAAGACAGTTTTTCCTGGCTCTGTGAAGTCCGAGTATGCTACAGCATCTAATGTGTCATGTTTTGGAAGGAACATGCTGAAGAGTTAAGTGCTTAAAAACACTCATGATAAATGTTTGTAAAGTTAACCAGACTGGAAATTAAAATGAGAGAGATTTTGGTGTTATAGAATGCATATTTATTATTAAAACATTATTATTGCAGTACTGTGCAAACACTCCCTTTAAAACATTCAGATATCATTTTTCTCAGTGCAGTTGCCCACTGGCCTCACTTGATGTGAAATCTTTCTTTCTTCCCTGTTCTCTAGGAGGTTTTTTCCCACCCCACTTGCAGTCTGATCAGAACTGATTAGCATTCTTTCCCTTTCAAAATATCCTTTGATTGAAATTAATTATATCTAATTTCTTATAATTCTCTTATTACTCATGTGTTAATTATTATGTATCATTAGACCTCACAAAAGCCTCGCAGTTCTGTCTGTGCATGCCATACGTTTGGGTATGTGTAAATTATTTCTGAAATAACTGAGTTTTTTCCTTTGCTTTCAGCAGCTTCTTCTGCCTCCAAGTCTCCTGAAGCTCCCAAAGACATTTCTTAGTTAAAGAATAGCAAGGTTTTCAGGGGAATCTGCATTATATATTGCAGATGGCAAACCAGAAAACTCAGAAGTGTTTGCAACTTTTGGAAATGGATGACATGCACATGTGATAAAGAAAGCATCTAAATGATTCAACTCTTGTTTTATCAGCTTCTCACCTATGCAGATCCTGGCTGGAACCGATGACTGGCTTATCCAAAATGATACCCAGGAGAGCACAACGAGTAGAATTGATGGTACATATGTCTCTAGTATGAAATACAGGATGTTTCTCTTAAGTTCAAAGTGAAACACTAGTTTTGGATAACTTCCTGTGGAAAGAACAGGAGAAAAAATATTGTGAAGGTGCAATTCATAAGAAGTTCTTTAAATTATCAACCTATATTACTTTTGTGCATTACAATGCAGCAAAAGCTTAACAAACTAGGTTGAAAAAAATTAAACACTGCGCTGAAAAATTCTATCATAAAGACTCTAAATGCAACTGAAGGAAAAAATCAAAATATACAACACCCAGTCACCATATCCAGAGTTTCATTAAAAACATCTTGAATTGGAAATTCACTGAGGATTAGTGAAGGTAAAAATAAATCCATCGATGTGTGGAAAGGATGTTTCATTATACAACACAATGCAAGGAAATTTGAAATCACATATGAATTTAGCTGTGGATATTCATAAGAATTACCACAATGAGCTACTATATAAACTAACAACTGTAATTTTATGAAGTTGGCATGGGTCCTTATCTTTACCTGCCTCAGATATTTGGCTTATTTTGCTTTTCTTTTCATCTACTGTTGCTCAAGATGTGGACCAAAGGTACTTTCAGTGATATTGCTGACTTACCTCTTCTATTCCATTTAAAAGCAAGCAGTGTCTTTGCACCTTCACTACCTTTTTTTCTTACATAAGTAAATTACAGCATTTATGCTGTTCTAAGCAGTATCATCATTGTGGAACAAATAGTTTGCTTGTAAATAAGCGGTTTGTAGGAGATGAAAGTTTGGGCCCAGTTAAAGACAGAATTGGGTTTTATTAGGGAACAGCACACTGGCAATCAGAGCCTGGGAGAATGAAGAACATCCCACTGTAGGACAAGATCAGGGTTGAGACCATCTAGGAACCTGAAGATGCACAAGTCCATGGAACTGGATGAGATGCATCCGTGGGTCCTAGGTGAACTGGCAGATGAAGTGGCTAAGCCACTATTCATGATATGTGAGCAGTCATAGGCAGTCCAGTGAAGTTCCCACCAACTGGAAAAAGGAAAACATAACCCTCATTTTTAAAAAGAGAAAATAGGAAGACCCAGGGAACTACAGGCCAGTCAGTCTCACCTTTCACCCAGCAAGATCATGGAGCAGTTCCTCCTGGAAACAATGCTCAGGCACATGGGAAAAAACAGGTGATTAGTGACAGCCAACAAGGCTTCACTAAGGGCAAATCATGCCCAACAGATCTCATGGCCTTCTATGATAGGGTTACAGCATTGGTAGATAAAAGAACAATTGATGTCATCTACCTGGACTTGTGCAAAGCATTTGACAGTATCCACAACATTGTTGTCTCTAAGTTGGAGAGACATGGATTCGATGGATGGACCACTCAGTGGATAAGAAATTAGCTGGATGGTTGCACTCAGAGTTGCCGTCAACGGCTCAAGGTCCAAGTGGAGACCAGAGTGATGAGTGGCATTCCTCAGGGGTCAGTATTGGGACTGGGCTGTTCAGCCTTGAGAAGAGAAGGCTCCAGGAAGTCCTTCTAGCAGCCTTCCAGTACTTAAAGGGCGTCTACAAGAAAGTTGGAGAGGGAATTTTAACAAGGGCGTGTAGTGATAAAGACAAGAGGTAATGGCTTTAAGCTGAAAGAGGGGAGATTTAGGTTAGATATAAGGAAGAAATTCTTCACTGTGAGGGTAGTGAGGCACTGGAACAGTTTGCCCAGAGAAGTTGTGGATGCCCCACCCCTGGAAGTGTTCAAGGCCAGGCTGGATGAGGATTTGAGCAATCTGATCTAGTGGAAAGTGTCCTTGCCCATGGCAGTGACAATGGAACTAGATGATACTTTAGGTCCCTTCCAACCCAAACCGTTCTATGATTCTAATTTGATATAGAGCCCACTAACTGAACAAAATTTGGCTGGGCAGCAGAAGAGCAGGATCTGAAATTCCTACCAGTCCAACAGATCAAAGAAAGGCAAAAGCTTGCTTTTTAGTAACTTAAATGTGCAGAACAGACTTTTTCTATTCTGATATTCAAAGTTCAAAATTAAATGTTAAAGTATTTAAGTTTTTTAAAACAAAATTTGAACAAAATTCTTGAACCAGAATATTAGTGAGAATAATACTTGAATGTACTGTGGTCAGATAAGTTTGGTTTCATCTATTTTAATCCAACAAACGATCATTTCCAGGACCCATATTTGTTTCCAATGCTTATTGCTGTGAGACTGGATAGAACTACAGAATGGTGAATGCACTTTAGCAACAACACTCTAGGCATAGGGAGGCTATTTGTGCATCCCCCAGGTGCACTATGAGACATGGACTCAACAAAGAGTACTTTTAAAAGCTTGAAGTGCAAGTAATGCATGCCAAGTAAAGTCTTCTTGCTCCCAGGCTAGGAAATTGACAGTTAAATTTCCGTTTTTAAAAGTATTGCATAAATTGCATCCAGAGAACAATAAAGTTTGACAGAACTCTTAAAATCAGAAAGAACCACTAGATTACGTAGCCCGATCCTAATCGGAAGTCATTAAGTTTCCCCATTTATTTCTTGCTTTGAACTCAAACACTTTGATTGAAATAGAGCCCACCTTTCACACAGACATCTAGACTTAATCTGAAGATATCTAGACATGCAGCATCCACCATTTCTCTCAGTAATCTGTTACAACGATTAAAATCCTTCTACCTGTTATAAATGAATGCCCAATTTCTAATCTTAATCTGATTTGAGATTTCTGCAATGTTAATTCTGCCTTTTCACTAGTGGACTAAATAGGCCTTTGGTAGTCTCCTCCTGAAGGTATAAATACACTGCACTTAGGGTTCTTCTTTGTAAGTTTTTGTAAGTTCAACATATTGAGTTCTTAAAGTTTCTGACTGATAGAAAAAAGGCTACAAAGAGAGTAGACTTTAGCTCTCTCCATGAGGCAGGAGATACAAAGATGATTTATATCGTTATAATTTTTATGTGAAAAAAAGGAACATTACATTAGTGTATCTCTATCAATACTGTGATTTTTACCAATACAGTTGTTTCAGTAAAAGTCATGTTGCCCACCAAAACTGATTTTAAGTGTAAAAAGACCAAAGTAAAGCACTGAAAAGTTAGGAAGTGCAAAACTTACAGTTGAATGTGCAACATTACTTCTGCTCTGTCTGCACTCATCCTTGCACTAAATCAAGCACTAGTGCTATGGAAAAACACTCAGTCTGTACAATAAAAGACTATAGCATGAAGCATTTTTAAAGAGAATTAGGACCATACAGGCAATTGTAATTCTGTGGCTTCCTAGTGTGCAAGAGCAAGTGTTTAAAATCTTAATAAAAACTGTTCAGTATTTTATTAATTTTGTTTGCAATCTTCCACACTGCTATTTAACTAGAACTCAAACCAGATCCTTTTACATAGTAAGACAAGGTTTTCTCTGCAGTCTTCGTACTCCCAATTGTCATTACTGTGGCATGGCTGCAGCTAGCACACAAAGGATGATGGCAAGGCCACCCTGAGCAAGGGAAAGGTGTCAGCCCAGAGCTCGTGTGAGGATGCAGAGGGTGTATTTTTTTGGAAAATGAATGCTCCCCAAAAGTCATTTGTCTTGTGTTTCTGTGCTGACCAAAGGGAAGGATGTGGTGCCATATACCCAGCAAAGGGGAGTGAAGAGAGTGGACTGTGCTTCCTGCAGGGTACCACAGGTATTGGGAGTTCCTGTGGTTCAGCCTTAGAGCTTGTCTTTAGGACGGAAAACTCTAAAATAGCCAATACATAATCGCCATAGAGCAACACCCTCTCCTTGTTAGCACCCTACAATTGTATCTCCGTTCACCTTAGCATAAAAGCCAAGTGTGTACATATGAAGTTAGTTCAAAATATCAAACTTGAAAGTCAGACTTTGCCACTTTGCTGCAATTTCGAAGTGTAGACAAGCCCTTTGAATGTTCCTGTGTTCTTTTGTGTTATTTTTCCTGATGCTAGAAATTTCTGAAGCAATGTGAACAACAAAGAGAAATAGAGATGTAACAGCTTATAGCTGAGTGGCTTTTTGGGGAACAAAAACGCATTTCTCTAACCTTAAGGCTTTCTGCTTGTCAGAATCCGAAGACACATCATGGACATGATAATAATAGTGTCAGCATTTCTCTAAAGCGTTCAGAAGAGCTTTTATAATGGAAATTTTGAAGCAACCTATATATAGAATTCATATGAGCGTCTCCTGTAATAAACTGAAGGAAGAAGGATTCAAGAAAAAGTACGCAATGCGTACTTATCATGCTAAAGAAATGAGCGACAGGACAAAATAAAGATAGGAAAATATTACAGTCCTTTTCTCGTCTACACTCCACATGTACCAAAAGTCACCATCTTTAAAAAGAAACACATTTGCTACTCGTATTATCTGAGTTGCATATGAGATGGTAATGATGTATCTCATTGCCTTTGACTTGCACATTTGAGGCTGTGGTGCCATCAGTCAGAACAAAAGTGAAACAGATTCATATACCCCTAGTCCTGGCTTTGCTAGAGTTAACTCTACAGCTCAAGTTAACTCCTCAAAACTGTCAGGTTTGCCCCTTGCTTGACTCTTATTGATAAAAAAAATTGCATTAAAATAAGAAGATGCTTTTTCATTCAAGTTTCTGGCCTATCGTGGATGTCATCTCAGTGATTTAAATTTGATAATGTGATGGAAATAATCTCTGTGCAGATAGCTAACTCTGCAGTAAAGGCGTAGTGTTAGCGCTTACCAAAGTACCAATTACTGTGTTGAACAGTTTCTCAGATGAATCTGAACCCAAATGACTCTCAGTATACATATTCAAAATCCACTAGAAGGTGAGGTATTCTAATTAAGTCACCCCACAGCAAAGGAAGATTGAGCTGAGTTACTTAGGCTTTATGGAATTTACTAGAGGGTAGAAGTACAAAACTAGACAGTAGCTCTAGCTTGTAGAGGAAGAATGAATTTAGATAGCAGGCTATAGTCTCCACACCTACTCTAAACTCACTCTACTGGTTTAAAAAAAAAAAACCTTAAAAAAAGAGTACTCTAGAAAGTAGATAAAGATGAAAAATAATATTTCAGT